CTGGGCTGGGCTGGCCAGAAATTGCAGTTGAATAAGCAAAATGTTAGATAAGGGAAATGCCATTCGAGCCGAACATGGCCAGAGTTAACTAGCAAAGCGTTTCTCGTTCACATTGCGTGCTATTAGCCTTTGATACCGTTACCAATTGGCTTGAGCCAGGTCTCTCAGTCTGCTGCCATCGCTGGCCACATTTTGACACGCTTCGGCATAATTTTCGTAGCTTTCGACAAAACTTAATTTAAGCTAATTATCAAGTAAGAGATGTAAGTAACACAAGTACATTTTAATTATATTAATAATACCGCTAAACTGAACTGAACGCAGCTATCACAGCATCTGGGACTAAGTCGAGCAGCTTTTACCTCCAGCAACGGCAACAAAATGCAATCAACGCGTCCTTGACAAACAAATTTGCGAGGCACTTTTAAGCTTTTGGGGTGGCAGACGAGAGTTGAGAGTCGAGAGTCGAGAGAGCTCTTCAAGCAAAAGAAAAGCCAATTATAATTAAAACAAATTCCATTTCGCCTTATCAGCGTCCGAGTTATCAAGCGCGATAGCGGCCCAGGGGAGAACGCAGCACGAGCAGCATTTTGCGTGGCTGTCGAGGGGCGTGAGGTGTGGGCGTAGCGCCTCCTGGCAACGAGGGCTGCGCACACAAAATATAGTATATATACATATATATATACACTACGATGTATACGAAATGTACTTTTTTGTTGTTTCTAGCTGCCGCAGGGCTACATACTAACGACACTCAAATCAAATGCGATAATCTATGACCCGAGGGGGCGACACGACGCAAAAAGGCTGTCAGAAAAAAGGAAAGACGAAATTCAGAAAAAAGGAGCAAAAAACATACAGCAGAGAGAGAGAGAGAGAGAGAGAGGAGAAAAAATAAGTAGCCGCACTTAATATTTATGAGTGGCATTCGCATGCAGCTTTAATGGACAAGTGGCTGGCAAATATTGCTAATGGCTTGGTTAGCAAGACTAACACATACCCTATACTATTATACCACTACTTTAGACTATTTTTGTCTACTATTATTTAGCTCAATAAATATTCCTTTACTGTTGGCCAGTAAATTTGTTTTAGCTACTATTTAATTACTGCCATGACTTCTTTTACTCCCTCAACTGCTGCTAAAGCTACTACCTTTTCTCTTATTGTGCTACTTTTATATGAATGCTGTGTGCTGCTGCTCTTTCTACTACTAATAGTCAGGCTACTACTACATTTTTATTGTCTATGTAATACTGCCCTCTCAAAGTTTTACTATTGTTCTCTCTTTTGCTATATCCTGTATTACTAATAGTACTATTTCTAGTCGAATAGTATAGTATGCTACTACTGTGTCTTCTACTAACTTAGCAGTATATACTTTAATATTTTATTGCTGCTCTACCAATTATAGCTACTCCATTTTCTACTGCTAATCTACTACTATTTCTATAATAATCTTCTCACTCCACAATTTTTTACTACTATACCATGACTCTATTTATTACTATATTACTACTTAAGGACTATCATACTACTACTCTATATACTACTTCTATATATAATAATATAATAATAAAACTGCATCGACGACTCTACGTTGCAGACGACTCTTCACTCCTATTCCATGGACTACTATTCCATTTTAAGTACTTTTTCTTCAATCTCTATTGTCTTTCTTTTCCAATAAACAAAACAACTTCTAATAAGTTAATTCCTATTTAAGTTTCTGCCATATTTTCACGTATCTAACGTAGCTCCCATTCAACCAGCTAGGGTATATAAAAAGTGACGCAGCTAGCTACAAAAAATTAAGGTAACGAGTAATGGAAAAATGAGTGACTCGCTAGGCCCAGGCGCTGTGTGACAGGTGGCGGCAGGTGGGGAGGGGGGAGTGGGCGACGCCCACAAAAATACATTTCCTTGGATTATTTAACTACTATTGATGGCGGTGGCGTTGGCAAATGGCAGGACATTGAGAAGGACACAGGATAAAAGACGTGAAAATGTTGGAGCTCCATTGAATGAATGGCTGAGTGAAAGAGGCAAGCGAATGAAACAGAGAAACGAAACGAAACGAAACGAAACGAAACGGATGGCGGGGCGCATAGCAAATAAAAATAAAACGCAAAGGGCGCCCGCGGCTCTCCATTCAGGCAGGCAGGCGCGTGGGCGGTTGGTTGGGGGCGTGGCGACAACTCTCGAACCGCAGAAGCCACGAAAACCAATGCAAAGGCATCGACAATCGGCTAAAAAAATATAAAAGCAGAAGCAGAAGAAGCGTTTCGCTTACCTGCGGGGCAGGCCAAAATAAAATAAAGACGAAGACGAAGAAGAAGCAGCAGCAGCAAAAGGAGAAGAATCAGTAGTAGCAGAAGCAGCAGCAGCAGGAGCAGCAGCAGCAGCAGCAGCTGAGGTGACTGCCTGGGCTAAGGACTAAGGGTAGGCACGCTTCGGTTATTTATTTGCTCGTTTATTTTCAGCACTTTTCGGCGCATTTATTAGAAGTTGTTGCCCTAAGCATTGAACAAAATAACAACAACAACAATAAGCTGAGGTGATTGCTTTAAGCAAGCGTTGGCGGGGCTGAGGGAGCTGGCGAGGGAGACGTAATGGCTGCTTAAGCAACGAAATGCTTAAGCAAGAAGAAAAATATGAAAGACAAAAAAATATATATAAAAGGTTAGACACGCATGCCAAAAATAAAAGAAAGAAAATCCAGAGGGAACAAGAAAGACAGACAGAGAAAGAGAGAGAGTGAGGGAGAGAGTGAGGGAGGTAGAATATCGACAGGCAGCGCCTGGCAATTTGAACTCGCTGACATGTTGTCAACGTCAGGCGCTTCGTGGCGAATTGAAAATCATTTGTAAATCAAATTTGAAAATGCTGCCTGAAAGAGCAGATAAAAGGATGCATATAACGAGGTGGCATCGTAATAAGAACTTTGCGTAGCTGTGAGTAAAAGCCTGTCCCGAGATATATATATATATATATATATATATATAAAGAGAGAGAGAGATAGAGAGAGTGTGAGATAGATTGCTGGCGAGTGGGCGGCCATTCGCGTGGGTGTGGCTGGCTGGTTCTGAATTTGTTGCTGTGGCAACGTGAAATTTGTCAAATTCAGCAAACATCATTCGTCATGACTTTGCTTCATGCGCTGATTCCGATTCAATTGGGTTTCCTAAATGCAGATAGAGAGTGAGATATCAAGCCATACCCTATTACCAGCCCACCACCCCCCACCACACTGGCTGGGATTATTGGCAGCGAACTTGCGTGGGGTCTGACATTGGGGCTTTGTCAGGATAAGCAGTGGCTGCCTCTGCTCCTACGGCGAATGATGATGATGCGGTTCGGCTGGACAGGCTAGCAGACATAGAGACAGACAGAGCTTAGCTCTGACTCTCGACTGTCATTCACGAACTTCTTAATTGTTTGTTATTAATGATGCCATTGTTGTAGCTATTGCTGCTGCTGTTGTTGTTGTTGCTGTTGACTGTCAAATTGAAAATGACAAAAATGAATGGCCGGCAGCAAGTCAGTTAAGCTTTCCACTGACTTTGATGAATGCCGCCTGGCAACAGCCACAACAAAACTAATTGATTGCCCCAGCCACGCACTGATTGCCCATAGCCACTCCCCCACTCCCACAAAAACACAACCCACACAAATTGCAATCGCAGCAAATTAATATTAGCACTTTTCACGCCAATCACATCATCAGTGTCCAGCGCTGAGAATCGCAGAGAGCGGCCTGCTGCGTGCTATAAATAAATTGACACTCGAACAATTTACAATAAATGACAGCACTTGTCTTGCACTCATCTCACTCTCTCTCCCTCTCTCTCTCCCTCTCTCTGCCTCGTTCACAATCAATAAGCCAAAGCTCAAGCGACCCGAGCTGTGGCTCCTCTATTATCCGAGTTAATAGAGGTAGTTTTTTTGAAGTGTAAAACGCTTGAGAACCATTTGGCTTTTTGATGGGCGCACATAAATTTGCGATTATGCGGTTCATTACATAACGAAGAGCACTCATCGATGTAAATGGGCTCGCACACAGCCCACAGACATGCGACTGGCGAAACTTGCCTCGCATTATATTTATGCTCTTTTGCCAAATATTTGTTTCTGTGCGACTAGAAAGCCAGCTGACTTGGCCCAACTTTTCCGAGTGAAAATGTGGAAAATGCGCAATGAAATTGTGCGGAATATGTCAAATATTAACTTGAATAGTTGAGCGTTTGTAGGGGCTAGAAGCATTTATGGAATTTGTTAACTAGGAGAATGCATGAAGTTTGCTTCAATTTAGAATGCGTTAGGCAATGTCAAAAGAGGCGCAGGGGCTGGGGGATATCAAAAGGTCTTGGTTTTGGTCTAAGTCTTGCTCTTTATCGTAGTCTAGGTTTGAATCTAGGTCTAGCTCTTGGTATTAGTCTTGGTCTCAGATCTTGGATTTCTTCTTGATCTTCCAGGTCTTGGTCTTTTGCCTTGATCTTGGTATTAGGGGTTTTCATCTAGATAAAGATCTAGTTCTTTTTCTTGGTCTTGCTCTTCCAGTTGCTCGTGGTTTCGGTCTGGGTCTTGAACTTAAAAACATTTGTCTTGGTCTTAGTCTAGGCCTTCATCTAGGTCTCGATCTAGGTTTTGGTCTTGCTCTTCATGATCTTCACCTTGATCTTGGGCTAGACAAAGACAAAGGTCTTGATATGGAGTTTACTGACAAGTGAACATTTTAACCAAGTATTACATATTAATGAAATAGCAATCTTAAAGTCTGTCAACTTTATTTAAATACCAAATACCAATTTCCATACCAAAAACCTCTACAATTTCCATGGAACATTGTCAACACTCCAAAATTGCTCACTTAAAGAATTTAAAATCTCTCCACATAGATTGCTATTTAATGTTTTACAACTAGTTCGCATGAGCCACGCCCACGCAGCTGATGCTAATGCTGATGTGCTTATTGTTTTCCGTTATGCCCCGGTACTCACCGTGGTTGTGGCCGGTGTGGTGGCCGTGTGCGGCGTATAGGCCGCATATGCCGGCTGGGGCAATGGGGCCGTATAGCGATAGGCCTGCTGGGCGACCGCAGCGGCGGCGGCGGCAGCAGCCGGTGCATAGCCCTGGGGTGTCCAGCTGGTGGCACCGCGATATGGTGCGCCCGCTGCTAGAGCGGCGCCAGCAGCAGCAGCAGCTGGGCTGGTCATGGCCGGTGGACGCTGTGGTATGGCGCCTTTGAGTGCGACGGCTGAGGCGGTCAACGGTGCGCCGGGGAAAGCGCTGCGCGGCGTTGGCGGTGCGGCTGCGACGCTAGCGGCACTGGACGAGCCCTGCAAAAAATAAAAAACAAGAAACGAGCAAAGGTGAAAATAGTGAGAGAGAGAGAGGATACGATTTAGTTGTGTGTGTGTGTGTGTGACTATTGCATGCATAAATAATGCTGCGCATGGATTTTGGTTAGGTTTTTGTTGTTGTCATAAATGGAAACCGCAGCAGAGCACAGCTGCCTCTAACGGTTCGCAAAGCTTTGCTTACCGCTAGCAAAAACCGCCATGACATCCGCCATGACACAAACACACACACACTAACACACAGATAGAGGCTAAAGGATTTTTGTTTTATTGAGTGCCAGTTGCGCTAGCTCGTCGCTAACAAAAATAAATAAATGAAATAAAAATCAAAATAAAAACAACAACAATAGCAGCAGCAGCAGCAGCAGCAAGAAGAAGCAGAGAGTAAACAACAAAGCGTCGGTCATAAATAAATTTTTACGAAGCATTCAACGAGTGTGAAGGCAGATGCAACAGTCGCATGACAGTCTCTCTCTCGTGTGTGTGTGTGTGCATATGTGTGTGTGTGTGTGTGTGTTGTCCTTGTGCTGCCTCGTCGCGCTTCCTGTGCTCCAGTTTTGCATTGCAAATGCATTTGGCTCGCACTGAAGCTTTTGGGCCATTTGTTTTTTGTTGCCAGCCCGGCTATAAACACAAATAACTCGAGGTATTTCTCTCTATTTTGTTTTTGGTTTTTTGTTTTTCCTCTTCTTTTTTTTTTAACGTATCAACTGATATATTTGAATGCGCTGAACTGTGCATACAGTCGCCTGCCGCTCTGTTTTCTTTTTATTTTTTTTGCCATGCAGTTTACAAGGTGAATAATTTCGTGTTGTGAATTCGCATTTCTTGTTGCTGCTGCCGCCCGCAACTTTTGCCGTTGTTGTTGTTGGGTTTGATTGCAACCACAGCTCACAAATTTGCTGTTGCCTTAAACAAAAACAACGAGCGGAAACAACAAAACGCCATTTTGTTTGCTTGATTGGCTCAAACGGATGCGAGTCATTCGCATAGCTTGCAGCGCGCTACTTGCAACGTGCAACGTGCCCGTTGCATTGCGTGTTGCCTTGATTTTATATTTTCACAATTGCAAATGTTTGATTTTGGTTTTGCGTTTCCCAGCGCTTCAGCATTTCCAGTTAATTTTCGTGTGCATGCGATTTGATTGCGGTTGTGCCGCTGTCGAAAAGCTGCCCCTCACTCTCTCTCTCTCTCCCTTTCCTCTCTCTCTCACACTCCGCTTAATTTGGCAGCCAAATGACAGAGGTAGTTGGAGAAAGAATGAAAGAAGTACAGCTACGCTTTCAATTTGAGTTGAGCTGCCATTTGTGGCAAGTTCTTGGCGCAAGCAAACATGCAACGCCAGGTTGCAACAAATCTAGGCAGCTAACTGTGGCAGGCAATCAAGTCAGCTTTGCTCTAGCAATTGAAGGCTTGACAAATACAATTTGATAATTGACTACAAATTACACGCACACACGAGTCATGCTCTGTCGGCTAAATAGGAGTTTTACCCACACACACACAGACACATATACAGTAGAATCCGTCCAGATATACATATACTTATACGGTTATAGCGTCTTTCGGGTGTATATACAAAGTATATCGGAGCCTGCATTAATAAATATATAATTATTATTTACTTATTTTCTGCCTCACTTGCCTTTCCACCCTCCTCAGTTCTCATTTAGCTTAGCTTTCAAATTGCATTTCCAAAATTTGCTTTCCCATCCATAGATACCCATCAAATTTTCAACAATTTGTAGCACCTTGCCTAAAATCCCACCCCACGCGCAGGATATGCCAGCACGTACCTATACATACGTATGCACACATGTATGTGTTTGTGTATTTTCCTATAAAATAGCTGCCTAAGAAGTTTTACGGTTATGCGCATAGACCCAAAACTTTCCAGAACTCCCATCAATTGCTTCAATTTTGGGCCATAAAAACGAACTGGCAAACATTTTAAGCGCACAAATGCAATAAATTTAAGCCGCTAAATTAGACACGTTTGCCACATTGTGGGCGTCGACTTGCACACACACACACACACACACACACACACACACATACAGTATATATACTCTTACAATTGCTATCGCTCGTCTCACGACAGTCGCCGTCCCGCATCGTGGCGAAAATAATCATAAAGGTAATTATTTTATCGTTCGTTGAAATTCGCTTAATTTCGACGTCGGCTTGAAAAATAAAATAAAAACGAACAGCAGCAAAAAACGAAAATCTAGCAGGAGCAGAAGAGGCCGACTAATGGAAAATATGAAGCTCAAGCGCCTAGTTGGGTTCGAGCTGCCTCCTGCCGGGGCAGCTGTGGCAGTGCCGCAGATAGCACAGGGCCACAGCCACGCGGGGGGCGTCGGGCGGCCAGAATGAGGACGTGATTAATTATCAAATTGGGAGCCATTATCGCGTGCAGTTCGTGGAGGGTGTTATAAAGTTGCTGGCACACGAAAACACACACAAACACACACCGAGAGAGAGAGAGAGAGAGCAAAAAGGGACTCTAGCTGCCGTGGCATGCCACGTTTCCCCGCTTGCCTCCTCTCGCCTCGTCTCGTTTATATTATTGGTAATTTCGTCGCGTTTTGAACATTTTTGTTGACGCTTTTGTTTTCTATTCTATTAGATATTTTTCGCTCGCCATTTTTATGCAAAGAGCGTTACGTGCCACGCCCACAAATGTGGCTGCCACTGGTGCTGTTGCTGCTGCTGCTGCTTATAGACAGCATTCCACGTCTTGCCTGTCCGCCTGTCCGTCCGTCCGCCCGCCCGCCTGCCTGCCTGTCTGGCAAAGGCAAACAACGCCCCAGCCAAAATCAAGCGCAAAATATTAATGATAATAATTTATTACGAACTGACAGGTAGACAGGGGGGAGACCCACAGCCCGGCGCGAGAGGGGCACGGTATGGATGTGTCGCTGTCACGCCTTACTCATGGGCACTGATAAACGCTTTGTGATTAGCGCTGCCAATGCTCCAATTGTTGTTGCTGTTGTTGTTGTTGTTGTTGTTGCCGCCGCTCGACAGCCATTGTCATTTTTATTGTCATTTTGCAAATTTATGCGCAAATTCGAGTTTCGGTTTTCTCCCTCTCTCTCTCTCTCTCTCTCTCTCTCTCTCTCTCTCTCTCTCTCTCTCTGCAGCGCGCTAACTCGCTTTCTATATGGCATTCTTCTTCTTATTATTTTTTTTTTCTGCCGAGTACGTGCGCTTGGATAATTGCTAGCACAGGGTATGGCGTGTGTTTGCATAAGCCAAAAAGCCATTCAAGCCCGCATGAGCAATACAAACACAAATACAAATATTTCAGCTAAAGCGGCTGAGTTTAAAGCATTTCAAAATTCTAGATGTATTAAATGAATTTAGAATATTATATATGCCTTTTCAGTGTTTCCTATAAAATGCATTCGAATAATATATATAATATATAAATGCTCTGAGACTGCATGACAGAAGCTGAATGATATAACACTCGATGGATGGTACATCTATGAAGTGCTATGAGACTCGATGGAAGGTTCATTTAAGTAAACTTGTGGAAATATTGATTATATTTGCTTGCTAAATAAAGGACAAAGACATTTGAATGACAATGAAATTGTGCTAAAGTCCGCCAGTGAATGTTGCGAAAACAAAACTTGAAACTTAGGATTATGCAGCTGCATGAAAAAAGCTGAATGCTACGAAACTCAATGGAACATTAATGCCAAACACTGAATAATAATAGCTCATTGCTCACGAAACATATTATTAGCATTATCATATGACTTTCAGAAATATAAATACTCTTAGTTTAGGTCTTCTAGCGAATTTATTGCAGTAGTTAAATATTCGGAGACTGCATGACAGAAGCTGAATGCTACGATACTCGAAGACAGGTACATTAATGAAACTTTTGGAAATATTGATCATAATTTGCTTGCTAAATAAAAGGCATATCCTGATTAGGTTTATGAAACTGCGCTTAACTCTTCCAGTGGTTGTTACTTAAGCGAAACTTGAGAGATGAGTTGAGGCAGCTGCATGACAAAAGCTGAATGCTACGAGACTCGATGGAACACCAATGCCAAAGACTGGGTAATATGAAGCTTGTGTGATCTTCATTGCTCACAAAACAAAAACATAATATGACTCTTAGAAATATAAATACTCTTAGTTTAGGTTATCTAACGAATTTATGGCGGAAGTTCAATGAGCATACACTGAATGACAGAAGCTGAATGATATGACACTTGATGGATGAAACCAATGAAACTTGGGGAAACATGAAACTTTTGGAAATATTGATCATATTTCCTCGCTAAATAGAAGGTAAAGACATTTGAATGACAATGAAACTGTGCTAAAGTCCTCCAGTGAATGTTGCGAAAAGAAAACTTGAAACTTAGGTTAATGAAGCTGCATGACAAAAGCTGAATGCTACGAAACTCGATGGAACCTTAATGCCAAACACTGAATAATAATAGCTCATTGCTCACGAAGCATATTATTAGCATTATCATATGACTTTCAGAAATATAAATACTCTTAGTTTAGGTCTTCTAGCGAATTTATTGCAGTAGTTAAATATTCGGAGACTGCATGACAGAAGCTGAATGCTACGATACTCGAAGACAGGTACATTAATGAAACTTTTGGAAATATTGATCATAATTTGCTTGCTGAATAAAAGGCATATCCTGATTAGGATTATGAAACTGCGCTTAACTCTTCCAGTGGTTGTTACTTAAGCGAAACTTGATACTTGAGTTGGGGCAGCTGCATGACAAAAGCTGAATGCTACGAGACTCGATGGAAGGTACATTACTGAAACTTGTGGAAATGTTGATATATTGCAATTTGCTCGCTAAATAAAGGCACTTCTGATTATAATTAGGAAATTGTGCTTAACTCTTCCAGTAACTGTTACTTAAACGAAAATTATAAGTTGAGTTAAGGCAGCTGCATGACAAAAGCTGAATGCTACGAGACTCCAT